TGGCTGAATCTCCCAGATTCAATTTACAAAAATTCAATATACAAACCTTTTTTCTGGAACAGAGCTATGATGTAAAGCAAGGCACACCTGTAGTTTTAAGAGAATTCTGGCAGGTTCCCTGGCTGCTCTTTTTCTGGGAAAAACATCTGGAGCCTCGCTTTTGCTTTTTGCCCCTTGCTCCAGCCTTGTTTTTGAGCTCTCTGGTCCTTGGCCCAAGGGTTCCTTGTTTTCATCAGGTGCTAAGTGTATCAGGCTTCATTCTGTGGTAAGTGACAGAAAATCCAAAGCAAATTGAATTAAGTTAACAAAGGGAATTTATCAGCTCACAAAACAGAAAGGTGCAGAGGCTTCAGGTGGCTTCAGGTGGGGCTGGATTTAGGACAAGCATAAGCAAGACCATTTCTCTGTTTCTGTTGTGTTGGCACCATTCTCCGGCTCCTCTTGGTGGCCTCCACAAGCTCTCTACCTCTCCTCCCTTGGTGTGGGGTTGGAGACAACAGTGTTCCAGCAGCTCAACCTCTCCACTGGTACCTAGTTTTTAAAAATCCAAGGTGCATTCTGATTGGACCAGCTTAGGTCACATGACTATTCCTGAACCAATCGCAGTGTCCAGACAGATATGATGCACTGACTGGTTGGGACCTGAGGTAGGCGCTCCATCCAGACGCCCTCAGAGTGGGAAAGGAAGGCAGGTGCTGCCACTGGAAGAAGGTGCTGCTCTGCGGGGACAAACTAATGTTCCTATGCTCACTTCTTCCCTGTGTGGAGAAGCCAGAAGAGGTGTATGACCTTTTGGAGGAGCTTGTGGGAGAGCAGCAATTTGAGTCTTTAAAGGGTGTGTTTAAAAGGGGATGCTGGAGAAGATAAAGATTGGCCTGACTGGCCTTTGCTCAGGGTTTTGGTGGCCAGGAACCAGTAGTTCATGGCAGAATAGCTATGTGGGTCAGATTCTTCCCAACTTCTTATTCAGGGATCACCTCTTTCATCTGTAAGGGCACCACTTTGAACCCTGCTCTCAGGGCAGTCTATGAAGGCTCACTATTCCTGAGGTGTCCATGGCTGAGAAGGCTGCTCCATAGTTTCCATGGGGAGAGACACCTGATCTTAGTAGCACTGAAAACCCTTTAGCCAGGGGAAGGGAATGTCATGGTTGAGGCCCAGGAGCCTTCCTCAAGTGAAGGAGAGAAGTAGTCAGAGGTGAAGTCTTTCTGGACCAACTGAAGTTGAGAAGCAGGGACTCTCCATGAGGATCCAGATGAGATCCGGAAGGCATCCAGACCAACTCCCCACTGAACACATGGGCCTCTACAGTTCCCTTAGTGTCTTTCTTCTGTTTGAGGAAGGTGGACCTGAAGGAGCCTACCATTTTCTTAGAACCACTGATTCTCTGTGATCATAAGGACTTTATAGATGTTGGAAGTTATCTTTATACATTGGGGAAACTGAGGTCTTGGGTGGGGGGACTTGGCCCCTCTATTCACAAGTGTTTGGTCTATCCCTCCACTCCAGAGCCCAAGCAGCCCTCTTTGGATGTTTTCCCTGTGCCTCAGTCTTTTGGTCACAGATCATGGCCATCTCAATGGCTAGTTTTTAACCTGTTGATGCTATGGAGGAGGCAGAGCTATGAGGATCAGAGGAGAGTGAGGGGAAAAGAAGATATGGAAATATGGAAATGAACACAAAATGTGTGCTGTTGTCACAGGAAGTGCAACTCTAAAGTAGTGGCTGGTAACATTTATGAATCACTGTCACTTTTTCTTTTTAAGTTTTTTTTTTTTTTGATGTGGACCATTTTTAAAGTCTTTATTGAATTCGTTACAATATTGCTTCTGTTTTATGTTTTGGTTTTTTGGCCTCAAGGCATGTGAGATCTTAGCTCCCTGACCAGGGATCGAACCCGCACCCCCTGCACTGGAAGGCAAAGTCTTAACCACTGGACCACCAGGCAAGTCCCAGAATCACTGTCACTTTTGAGAATCTGGTGGAAGAGCTCAGAACTAGCCTATTGGCTTGAGAAGTATTACTTCCAAAGTAGGCACCCTGAGAGGCCAGGTGCTTGTTGGAAGGTGCTGATATGGCTCACGTGTGGTGGAGCTCCTCCCGACTTTACTTCTGAGCTGGTCTAGGAGTCAGCAGAGAACTCATCTCACCACCACAATTTTTACCCTCAGCCACCATCCACCTAACTCACCAGGCCAGGCTCCTAATGACTTGCATCAGTTTCAAGAAATCAAAAGGCTGGCGCCCCCTGAAGAAGACACTGCAGGAGTGGCAAGCCCTTGCCAGAGTAGGGGTGGTGGAGGGCTTGTCTACCCAGACTGCTGTGAGGATTGGGTGAATGCAGGAGTCCTGGAAGCAGGGGTTGGGTGGGCCTCTGGGAGTCTCTGCTTAAAGTCTAGCCACAAGATTCCAGCCCTGGCCAGGAGCAGTGCGAAATACTCCAGAGGTTGAAAAGAAGGAGGAGAGGGAGTCAGTGAGGAGAGGCCTGCGGAGCAGGACCAGGGCCAGGGAAGAAGGGTGGGGAGGCTGAGAAATCCTGGAGAAGGGAAAAAGGATTGGAGACCCACAAATTGTGGAAGTGGCCGCCAAACACAGAGGGTAGAGAAAATCAGTGGGTGAACTTCTGCGCTTTAGTGGGACGCAGGTAGGCTTCAAGTTTCGGCCTCTGGAAGACACCAGGCCTCTGCCCATTGCCCAGCGCTCCCCGCCCCGACCTTGACTCCCACTCGCAACAAGTGCTGGCTGCCCGCGGAGGTCTACCAGCGGTGCGCCAAGAGAGCTCGCGCCGAGTCCTCCAGGAACGAGGAGCGCGCGGGTGCCGACAGGGGGCGCCGGCGAGACCCCCGCCCGAACCCTCTGTGGGGCTCAGGTGGTGCGGCGCGGCCTCCGGGCGGCGGGCAGTCGGTGCCAGGCCTGCTCTGGCCCGTCGGGCTGTGCAAAACCTCGGTGGCCTCCGTGCGCACCAGTCGAGGTCCCATAGGGCGCATGGAGCGTAGCGCTCCAGAGATGCACGGCTTCGGAGGGCCGCGGGCGCATCAGGCTTCCTGGTATGGAAGGGGCTCTCTGCGTCTCCCGGCCACGATCTGGACCGCACAGGGCTGGGCACCGCGGAGAGCCCCAGGGCGGTGCCCGGACGAGCGGCCCAGCTCCCTGCCTCCCCTGGCCCAGGCGGGGCCGGCGGCTCGAGGGTTAAAAGGCGACTGCCACCCCCATTCTCTTGAGGAGAAAGTGCCTTTTCTCCAAGTCCATATGGTCACTTCCTTTCGACCTGTTCGGCCCTGCTCGCCTCTTTGTCCGAGCTGTCACTTATAAAGAATCACTTGACTTACAATAACAGGTTCAAAAGACGACAGAGTATAATCAGTTGACCCACGAAGAACTGAAATAAAGAACACCCCACTGCTCCAGCTATCATTCCCATAGAGATAGCGATATCATTGATGTGATTGCGATGCTAATTTCTATACAAGAGAAAAAAAAAAACCTTGTATTTTGGAATTTGTTCAAAGAGAATTTCAGACACATCAGATTGGAAAATGTGGATTGAATTCCTAAACTTTTTTGGGTAGGCAGGGGATTCTGTAAAAAACCACCACTGCAGAGATATGAACGGACTTTAAGAATCTCATAGAACTAGCTTGTTTGGGGAAATTCCGATTCTCCTGGTCCCCAAAGTCCTGAAGAGATACAGATGGAGAGAGAGAGAGAGAGAGAGAGAGAGAGAGAGAGAGATTGAGGTTCTCAGGGTAGAGTCCAAGGGTGCAGGTAGTGGAGACCAGGCCGGGTGCCTACCGATGGTGCGCCTGTGGAGGGGACCACCCACGGTGAGGTGCCAAGGCCCGGTGCCCCAGGCAGCTGAGCCGCACCTGTTGCCTGAGACCCCAGTCCCTGACCGCTGCCTGGTTGCTCCTCCAGTGGGAAGTTTTCTGCACCTTGCCCCACTGTTGGACTGGTTGTTTGCAACCGAGTGGTTCCTTCCTGTAGGAAGGGGGTGGCGATGGGGAGGCTGTGTCATGCTTTTTCTGTAATTTTGCTTTTTATGTATTGTGGTGCCCTGGTTTAAACCCTCCAGTCATCTTAGGGGAACTCAGTCCGGGCAGGCTGGAACAAGTCTTACCTGAATCAATGTTTTAAGTGTCCCTGTGGCTTGACGTTTTGAATAATCAATCTGTCTCCATCATTTCTTAATCAGGCACAGCACAGGCCTCTTTCTCTCTCTCTCTTTCTCCCTCTCTCTCCCCCTCCCTTTCTCCTGCTTTACTTGTCAACTCTTTTGGATCCAGTGTTTCTGCTATTAACATGCCCCAATGTCACATGCGAGCATTTTCTTTAAAACAAGCTCCTCATTGGTGTATCTGGATACTTCTTTTATTATTATTACTGAATCTTTTTCCCCCCCATAATGACACCAGGATCATTATATAATCACATAACAAAGAGGCTTTTGAGGCACCAGCTTTTGTCAACTCTAGGACAGAGAATCCATAATTGCATTATTCAGCTTTTTCCCCCTTCTTCCCCCTCTTCCTTGCTTCATGGAAACCCAACCTCAAGCATCACTCACATCTTTACCTTGTTACCTTGCCTTATATTATTTACCAAAGCGTTTGCCTTGAGGACCAGCATTTGCAAAGTTGCCTTAAAAAAGTTATTTTGTTTGATAATTAAGTCCTGGAGCCCACCGCGTGATGATTATTCTGGACCCATAAGGCAGAGAACCTGCGTGACGTTTTTCTCGAAGTTTAATTACCGTATGCTAATTTCCTTGCCTACTACGTGATTAATTAAAATCATATTTTCATAATCATTTGGCACTAGTATTGTTTTAGAATTATCATGATCTCCTAAATAGTGTCTGTAAATAAAGTCGCCTCTAATGGCAGGCGCGGGAGGCGAGGCTGAGGACCTCTCCGTGTTTGTATCGCGGCGATTGGCAACATAACTGCCTTATTTACATTAAATACGCCACAAGGTTACAGCGCGGATCAACGTCATTTGATCGCTGATGACTCCCTTAAACGCCCGGGCTGTGACTGATTCTCCGCGTCCCGCTGTCCACCGAGATTCACCCGGGAGTTTTTTTTTTCCCCCCCAGAAAAGAAACAGACTTTAGTTTCAGGAGCAGGTAAGAATTACGCTTTTTCCTCTCGCCTTTTCCGTCTCTCTCTTCTCTCCCTCCGTGGCAATCTCTCCCTCTCGGCTGGATAAAAAATTCTTTAGTCAAAGGCAGGAATGCAAAGTAGTGACAAGCGAAGGGGCTGATATATGTCTCAGTAACGAGTCTGACAATCAGAATGTAGCTCTTGGAGAATAGATAGATTTTAATAAGTGTGTTTACATGAGCTCAAGGTCAGAAGCAAGCTGCGCTGTGTTAAATGGTTTCTTAGTTGCTAGACAGAGAGAAAAAATGGACGATCACACACCATTCTTTGTAGATTATTATATCAAGGGTTCAGTCTCTGGCTCATCAAAGCTAAATGCCGCAAGACCTATCTAGTTGCTGTGAATTATGCCAGGGCGACAATGGAGAGCGTTTTTAATGGTACAATGCATTTCACCTACCAGATAGGGGGAGGCCGAGCCGGGGATGGGGATGTCTGCTGGGGTTGGGTGATGAGTATCAATGAACGGGGCGATTCTGAAAAGAGGCAGACGAAAATCGAGCCCGCCCTGCCCCGGCTGGGCTGGAAACAGTTCGCAGGGCTCTGCCGAGTGGGCGAGCGAGGCGCGCGAGCAGGGCGCCCGTCCCCCCTCAGCCCCGGAAAATGATCAAGTCAATCATGTGGACATGTTTCATTATTCATTGAACACAATCTTTTACAACGCTCCGTTTACGTGCCCGAGTTTGCTCCCGACGCCCGCGTTTCAGTGTTTAAGGTAAGGAAAACAAAGGTGGGGGGGTCTCCGGGCGCGGCGCGGGGGTGGGGTGGGGGGCGGGGAGGGCGCGGCGGGGGGGGGTGGCCCCGGCATCCGGGAGGTGGCAAAGTGAGTTTGGACTCTTGGCTTGGGCCCCCATCCCCTCCCCCTCCCCATCTCCGCGAGGCCTGCCGCCGGGCTCCTTCTCGCCCCATCGCGATTAAAAAATACGGTCTAATTAAATATCCGTGGCTGTGACGTTGGCGAGAGAAGCTGTCAGCGGGGGGGAAAAAAAGAGGAAGAAAACGAGAAAGCGGCGGCGGCCCGGCATCGAATGGCGCTAGAGAACTTCGGCGGCGAGCGGGACCCGCGCCTGGGCCGTCGCCTCCCCCGCCCGCGGTCCCGGGACCGTTACTTTGAAAAGGAGCCGCCGGGCCTCGCGCCGGCCGTGCCAGCGGGACCCCGCGCCCCACTCCGGGCCCAGCCCGCGCCCCTCACTCGCGCGCGGCCCGCGAGCCGCTCCCGGACCCGGGAAACTTTCAAAAGGGTCGGGGGGGGGGAGTCGTATGGAGACGGGGAGGCTGGGGCCGCAGAAACTTCTGCTCAAGTGACTTTCCCCATTTTCTCCTCTGCTTGAGAATCGGGCGCCCCTCGTCCCCTTTCTTCCTTCGCTGCTCGCTGCGGAATTCCGGCCCCGCCGCCGGGGGGAGAGAGGGTAATTTGTAATTTTTTTAATCAAAGTTAGCTAATGCTTACAGTGTGTCAAACTCGCGGGCGCCAAGGGCCGCTGAGACCTGCCATTTTGTGTTTTCATTGGCCTCCTGTGCCCGGGGAGCCGGGCGAGGCCAAAGCCGGGGGCTCGGTGGGGCCGGGGTGCCAGGGTCCGAACCCGCGGCCCCAGGAAAGGCCGTGGCGCCTGCCAGTGCAGGCGGCGCCCGCAGCACTGCCCCAGCCTAGCCCAGGCCCTGGGGCCAAGCCGGGGGCCAAAGATAAAAATAAAGAAAGAAATAAGTAACAGGTTATGGAGAGAACTGAGCCGGCCAGCCCTGGGCTGGAAGAAATGAGGCCAATCAGAGCGAGGGAGTGCGGGCGTGGGGCCTCAGGAAGGCGGGGAGACAGAGGGTTGGGGGCGTCTGGCTAGAGTGCAATTTGGGGCAACGGAAGCTCCAGGCCAGATGTATGACTGGGGGGAAAATGTTCTTTGCTGATAAACCTTTCTGTTTGCCTCAAGACATTATTTTTTGAAGATGAAGAATTGAGGAAAACAGTCGTAGGTGGGACCGGGATATATTTTAGGCAAAAAAAAAAAAAAAAGACGGGGGGTAGGTTTTCTTTGATGATGAGTAGGAAAGTGCCCAGATCTCGACGCGCCCATCTGTTGCAGTTTTGCAAATAATTTAAAAGATAGATATCTCTATATAGATGGATGTACGTGAAGTGGAAGGTGGAAACGCAGGCGCCGGGAAGTTAGGAAAAAGAAAGAAAAGGGGATTGATTGGGGCAGAGATCTGTCCCCACCCCACTCTTCTGAGGAAACTCCTGCAGGGCTTTCTTTGGGGACAGGTGGAAAGTTGTCTCTCCCCCCCACCTCCTTTTTTCACTTCTGTATTGTGAACGTTCCTAGTGTCCGCCTCTCGGCGAACGTGCACACAACCCCCGAGTTAGGTAGAGGGTCGGACGATCGTTTGGGGATGGGTTGGGGACAGTGGAGGCCGGAGCAAAGAGCGGGGGGCGAAGAGGGGCAGGGCGGGGTCCCAGCCCCGCGCGCCGGTCGCAGCCACGGCTGGGTTTTGTTTGCTGGATATTGTTATGTCTAACGAGTGCCTCACAGGAGACGTGATTTGTCAGCCGCCTTCGTTTTCACTTTAGCAGAAAATACGGCGGCTGCGCGGCGTCCTGGACTGCGGGTCCAGGCGCCCGCTGGGTCCGCTGGCGTGGGTGGGTGCGCGGGGGTGCAGGCGTGGGGGAGCGGGCGGCCGACCGGCCGCGGGTAGGGGCAGTGGGGCGGGAGGGGTGAGCGCGCGCGCGGTGCCGGCCTCGGCTGCTCCTGCGCCTTCTCCCGACAGCCGCCGCCGCTGTGCAGTTTAGCAGAAATCCGACAGGGGCCGCGTTTGCTGAGCGCATCCGGCCGCCGGGCAGCCCGAGCGGGCCGCGGGGCCAGGCTGCCGGTGTAGACGCATGGAGGGGGTTGGGGGGAGGGCAGGCGGGGAGGGGCGCGAGAAGCGGGCTGGGTCCGAGTTCTCGCCACCCCCGGTGTTCGTTGTCCGCTGTGTCCCGGGCGCGTCGGGCAGCCCCTGGAGCCCTGGCCTTGCGCCCCCGCCCCCAGCCAAGGCTTAGGTGAACTTGGTTGGGGTGGGGTGAGCGTGCGTGCGTGCGTGTGTGTATGGGGGGGGGGGGAGGTTAGACTGGGAACGCTCTGTTTTCTTTCCCAGTTTGATATTAGCAACTGGATTTTTACTTTAAGACCGGCTTTGCTCACTGCTGGGGTTGGGAGGGGGCGATCTTTTCCCATCACTCACATCTTTGTTCATTGTTCACTGAGTGGAAGGCAGGCGACTTAAAGAGACGAAAGAGAGGAAAAAGAGGGGGAGCAAGAAGAGGGAAGGAAGAGAGGCGCGGGGAGAGCGCCCCCGCCCCCGCCCGGGTCGGGTTGGATGGTGAAACAGTAAACCCGCGCACGGAGGGTCGCCGGGAAAGTGGACATTACCGCTTTAATTAACTTCGAGATGCTCCGGCGGCGGGACCTGGCGTAGCCGTGACGCGCCCCCATAAATCTGCCCGGCCCGGGGCTGCTCCGAGAACTCGTACAGTAGCGGCGTCAGACCCGACGCGCGCCTCCCAGTCCGGAGCCCATTTGCATAATTGGATTTTTTTTTCTCTTTCTTTCTCTCTTTCTTTTTTCCCCCCCGCATTCTCCCTCCCTGAAACTTGTTTGAAAACCCAAGTGAAAACTGCGACGACCTGCACGCTCAAAAGCGAGTGCCAAGTAAGTGCCCTGCCGTGGCCTCGGTGCGCCCCGAGGTTAGCGCGCACAGCCGGCGAGCGAGGTGCCCGGACGCCGCGCGCTGCCGGGCGGGCCTCGGCCGAGGGCTGCTCGCTGGCGGGAGGACTACAGCCGCGGGCTCCGGCGCTCCAGGCTGGCAGCTCGCACAACTTTTTTCCCCTCTGTCTCCCAAGTTCTCGGGCCAGGTGAGGTGTTTGGACCACGCGTGTACCTGTAGCGAGACTCGGGAGGCGATTTTGGGGGCGCGGTGGAGTTGGGCATCTCGGGTCCGGGCGTGTTGTCGGTCCCCGCCGCTGTGGAGGGCAGAGCTGCTAGCGAGAAAGCGAACCGGGCCGGCTGCATCTCGCGCCGCGGTGCGAATGCAGCTCGTCGCCAAATGTCTCCCCCATTATTCTAAGGTTTGTGTCTCTCGGTGTGTGTGTGTGTGTGTGTGTGTGTGTGTGTGTGTGATCTCGGCTGTGCTTTAAAAAGAAAGAAAAGCAGGCACAACAAGAGCGGAAAGGGCTTCTCCCTTAGCTGCCTCCCCGCCCCCCCATTTCTCCAGCATCATTTATTTCTAGTGCTTGAAAGAGAGAGTGCAGGGCTTCTTCGCTAAAGACAGAGTCACCGAGAGATTGACAGTTCTGTTGGAAATGCCATAAATTCTATAACCAAAATGTAGCTGTCTTCATAAAATACTAACCCTGGCCTGTCCAGGAAAGTGATTTTATAAGTATCTCAAATTAAAAATACATAATAATGTATTATTATTATTTACAGTGTTCAGAACCTGGGGGTAAAGTCGATTTTCTTGGGAGAAAACTGTAACCCTACTTTCTGTTTGCTAGGGAACTTGCTAGCAGCTGGACCCACCAGCCTCACTGGAAGGGGCAGGGGACTCAGCTTTGGCCTGGGGAGTCGCAGGGGGGCAGCGGGCAACCTTCTGGCCTCTGCTTAGGGAGAGCCTAGGGCTTCTGGCTGAAGGCTGCCTTAGTTATGATGTCATTCTGATAGTGGAGTGCAAATGTCTCCTGATTCCACCATTAACCGCCTGGCTGATTTGCTTGGTAATGATAGCACTGACGTCCAGGGCTTTGACAAATGCAGGCCTGCAGAGCCCTAGGAATTAACTTTTTCCCCCACTGAGGAGGGAGTGAGCTGCCAGAGGTCCACTCCTGGGCTCCTGCCTTTGAACTTTGCAGTGCCTGAGTCCAGACACTAATATGGATAGCAGGTCCCTAGACTGAGGGACCCCTGTTTTCCCAAAGTTTGGAAAACTTTTAGAAGGCTTCGATTTATAGAATACCCTTAAGCTAGTAACACTTGAATCCAGTTGTGACCAGATAGAGACACTTGGATCTGATGGATTGCTGGGACCCTAGGTCTCTCTGGGGCCATTGCATGGAAGAAGGGATTGTCACATCTGCTTCCTAACTTCAGTCCCTTAACTGTGACTTTATGTTAATATCACTGCAAGTAAACCGGATTTACTGTGGATTTTTAAATAGTGTACAATGATTTAAGATGTCTTTTGATTTACTGTTCAAATGAAATTTACATAAATGTGATGAAAATGAACTTAACATCTGGGCATATGAAAAAAGGTTAGTACCTCATATGTCATCTGCAGAGAAAGTCTCTAAAATGCTTTCACCCTAAACTGGGTTCGGGGAAACAGTTCCTGGAGACATAAATGGTAATTATGGAAAACCTGGAGAAAGCGCTTTCAATAAATTTGCATTCCCTTGGACCACTGCTCTGAAAACCCATCTTGGCCTGTGCCTGGAGTGCTTAACTTCTGAGCAGGCTTGAGATCTCACAACTCAGCAAGTTAACTGCTGGCTGGGGCTGTCTTCTGGTTCAAGCTGGAGGCCAGTAACCTCCGTTATGGGAGAGGACAGGGAGGTGGCCAGGATGTGCAGCCCTACTAACCACAGTTGCCCACTGGGCGCTGAAGGCGGTGCTGAAATGTGGAATCAGTTACCTGCTGAGCACCAAAAAGCTGATGGATTGGGGTGTCTGCTCTGCCTTAGGTAAC